CACTGCTATTATTTTGAACACGCCTTTGAATGAATGAGTTAGTTTCTCAGAACAAGCAGCATGCATGTCATTACAGTGGGGTATGTTGTTTTTCAGTTACAGTACTATATCTTCAAGTAAATTATTTGCCATGCAGAAGTATCACTACTACTGATGACACTGGTTCAGGTTATTGATGTTGCACTGCTATTTTTTTTGAACACAACTGAACAAGTTGTATTTGTCCATTTGGAATTTTGCGATTCTATGTAGGAACTTTGAGGAGTCATGCCAGTTTAGGTGGGACTAAAAACAATTCCGTTTTAGCAGACCAAGCCTCAAGGTCTGCACATTATTTAACATTTACCTCTAGATCATTGTCATAATCTGTGTTGTGTGTCTCCAGGCCGGTGCAGTGCTATTTTTGCTGGTGACTGTGATTGTTAATATCAAGCTCATATTGGATACCAGAAGAGTTGCCAGTGAGGAAGAGGCTGCACAAGATTATGGTACAAATTTGATGATGATTTTGATGATTATGATGATTTTCTTGCCGAGGTTTAATTTACAGCATGATCTGGAAACGCTTAGAAAGTCATATGGTGTCTTGGTGAATGTGCTTTACAGTGGATTGCTTTTGTTTTTTTGTTGACATGCAGATGAAGCCTTGCCCAACATGGAAACCCCCCGGAGACCGCACAGCGGCAGGAAAGTTCTGGACATCGAGGTGTACTCCAGTCGCTCCAAGGTCTACGTGGCGGTTGATGGAACCACAGTGAGTTTCCTGCTCCTTCACGAGGACTCCACTGTGTATGTTTATGCCTCTCAGTTTTAACTATTTTCACTTTCACGTCCTTCTGTGTTTTTCACAAAATGCATTTTTTTTAATAGTTTGTCTGAATGATTGTGTTTTCTCCCAATTTTATCGAGGAGCTTCAAAGAGGTTTTGATGTATCAATTTGGTGGGGCTATGCTCATGATGGGAGAGGCGGTTTGCATAGTGGTCAAGTGTGCTTGTGTTGGGATCAAAAGGTTCTGAGTGGGAGTCCTTGCCGCAGCTTTCGTGGTGTGTTCTTGGGTAAAACACTTTACTCGCACAGTGCCCCTCTCCACCTAGGTGTACAATTGGGTACCAGAAAATTTTCGGGAAACCTGACCAAGAGTTGGGGGGACACCTGGGAGGGACTAGCATCTGATCCAGGGGAGCAGCTATATTCCTAGTCGCTTCATGCTACAGAAACCGGGGTTTAGCACCAGCCTGATGAGCCACTTGGCTCGGGACAGACCTGTGCTCATCATAACAGGTTTGGCTTAGCTTGGACATCTTGTTCGATAAATTTTCCTAACTATTTTTCCTTTGCTAGGTGCTGGAAGATGAGATGCGGGAGCAAGGAAGAGGAATTCACGTAATTGTTCTCAATCAGGCAACTGTAAGCATGTCTGTCATCTGTGAAGTACAACAAGCCTTTCATTCTGTGGATTTACTCTGCATCATCAAAACTAGCTAGATTCAGTTTTTCTCAACTGCCTGTGTATTTTGTGAACACATGATTTATTTTCTCAGTTCAAAGCATGTGCAACCCCAAAATTTTTAAGTTTCTAAAGAGAAAACAGTGTGCTGTCTTCTCTAAATAATATTTTTTCTTCTAAATGGGCTCCATTATGTAAATGGGCATATTAAAATGCAGGTGAACTCTGATACATGTATTCAGTGGAATACACTATAAAATGATGATCTTATCATTAGAATGTTTGCTTTTTTAAGTGTTATATTGCTAATCGTTACCTGCAGTAAGCTACCACATTTTTATGCTTAAAAAATAGAATGCTTGAATTGGGAATATGCCTCCCCCTCCCCCAGTTACAGCACCCTGTACATCTTGGTGCGCGCAGTTGGATTTATGAAGTGTTCAACATTTAGAAAAATGGAACAGAACTAAGTATTGGGCCACTTCATGAGCAGTAGAGGAAAACAAAGAAATTGGCATCATCTTGCCTTTTTTGTCTCTCCATAGGACTTCATTGACTATGCTAACTATGCTTTTCTTAGCAAAACGGCAATGAGGGTATTGCCGTGGTGTGCTTCAGTAGCTATATCACCATATGCATCCTCTCTTGTTTGTAGGAGGGATTTGAACTTGTGCTATTTGCATTTGGATGCCCTGCAAGCTGAAAGAAATTCCATAGCGTTGAGAAATGGATAATGCACTGCCTGGCCAAAAATAAAGTCACCATCTGGATTTAACTAGGCAAATATTTAAGAGCCTTCCACTGGATAATTACTGCTGTTATTAATATGTTTCAGCTGGCAACAAGTCATTTAAACCTAACTGATGAAGTGAGTAGCTTCTCATTTCTTAGACAGCCATGTCGGAAGACATATCCTGTGGTCGTGGAAAAGATGTTGCTCTGTTTCAGGAGGGTGAAGTTATTGGCCTGCATCAAACAAAGAAAACAACTAAGGAGATTGCTGAAACTACTAAAATTGGGTTCAGAACTGTCTAACACATTATTAAAACCTTGAAGGAGAGCGATGAAACGTGATCTTTGAGGAAGAAATGTGTTTGGCTAGAAATCTTGAGTAATCAGGACCGAAGATCTCTTAAACGCTTGGTGGAATCAAATCGTAAAATATCAACAGTAGAACTGACGCCTATGTTTAATAGCGAAAGTGTGAGCATTTTCACATGCACAACGCAAAGAGAACCCAAGAGATTGGGACTAAACAGCTGTGTAGCCTTACAAAAACCACTTAACAATCAGGCTAATGGGGGGGAAAACGGGCTACTATTTGCTAGGGAGCATAAAGATTGGATTCTGGAGCAATGGAAAAAGGTCATGTGGTCTAATGAATCCAGATTTACCCTGGTCTAGAGTGATGGGCGCATCAGGGTAAGATGAGAGGCGCCTAGTGCCTACCTTACAAGCCTGTGGGGGTAATGTTATGATCTGGCGCTGCTTTAAATGATGAGGTCTAGGTTCAGCAATGATATGTGCCCTGAAGATTAGGTCGGCTGAATATACAAAGTGACCAGATTTTTCCAGTAATGGATTTTTTTCTTCCTTATGGTGCGGACATATTTCAAGATGACAATGTCGGGATTCATCGTGTTCAAATTGTGAGAGAGTGGTTCAGGGAGCATGAGATTTCACACGTGGATTGGCCACAACAGAGTCCAGACTCTGAGTCCAGTCCAACCCCATTGAGAATCTTTGGGATGTGCTGAAGAAGACGTTATGCAGCAGTCTGACTTTCCCATTATTAATACAAGATCTTGGCGAAAAGGTAATGCAAATCTGGACAGAAATAAATGTTGTGACGTTGCATAAGATTATCGAGATGATGCCTTGGGGAATGCGTTCTGTAATCAAAGCTAAAAAGGTCGAACTTAATATTAGAGTGTGTGACTTTTTTGGCTTGGCAGTGTATAAGGAACGGGCTGTTGTTTGTGTTTCTGGGGAATTTAGGCAATGAAATTGTCTTTGTTCGGAATGAACAATGCAAATGGTTTGAATTTGGCATAAGGAATTGCTGTGTTGTTTATGTAAACATGATATTTCATGTGAAGATTAAGCAAGATTTTGAGAAATGGATGCAAGAAGTATGGTTTAGAATTGCATTTAGAATGAAAAGCAGGTAAAGTGTTTCTATTTGTGCGGGATTGTTGCTGGATGAGGTTAATTAATTTCAGGGTTTGGTTATAGTGGCTCAGTTTTTTTATTTATTTTTTTTTTTAGTTTTTAAAAATTGAGAAACTGTAAACATTTCACAATATTGGACTTGTTTGCTCCTTGTGGAGCATAGACCACAGACATACTCTTTCCATCTCTTCCGGTTTCTTGCCTCTCGAACCATGGAGTGCCGGCTCAGTCCAACTCTCTGCATCTCCTCTTCTCAAGAGTGGCGCTAGGTGTTTCTAGGCCTGCCGCGCTTCTGTTTTCCCATTGGATTCCACTGCTGGGATTGTCTTGTGACGTTGCCATCCTCTTTCTTCAGTCAGTGCATGCCATGAGACGGGCGCGATCGCGCCGGCGCCCGTAAACGCCCGTCAGGTCGTCCTCACGGGCGCGATTTAACACGCCCGTCAGTCACTTCACGAGCGCGCCACTATTTAATCCAAGAATTAGCCCATTTGACCTACCCTGGTAGACTATGACGATGACGACAATGTCCTAATCAAAACTAGCAATGGCAACATTAAGGCAACCAGTGCCAGCTGTGAGGAAGTATGCTCATATTCAGTTCTTTGCATTGTTCAGATGGTTCTTAACTTCTTTCTCATCAGCCATTAAGTCCAATGTTCCTTGGGAAGTCCAAGCCTCATTTTCCCTTTTCCTTCGTGCAAGACTGTCCTTGTAGGGTATTCGTCACATTTCCCTGATCTTTTCCTGCTTTCCTCAACATGTTGTGCCGTCCTTCTTAGAAGCCTACCTTCTGCTCAACTTCAGCATCGTTGGTTGATGTATATGCCTCAATAACTTGTAGTGAGATCCTTTTGTTTGTTCTGTAGTAATCACAGGGCAAAGTGGTACCCAGCCAATGAGTGCCCTCTCTGCTGGTGTAGAAGCATGAAAACAACCCCCTGAGTGTGCAGGGCATATTCCTCTTCATGTGCAGAATACAGGATGATTTCTGCAGATGTTGGCTTGGTTTGACCTGAGCCTGTCTCATCTCGTTTTATTTAGGCCCAGTATGTGTAAGCCGTGACTCTTTCATCTCCATCGCCAAATTTGCACTCTTCCCTGCCATCTGCATCCCATGTTCCAATCTCGCTTGGTCTCCTGGTATGTAGGATGTTTAGTCAGTTAGCTTTCCTTGGGGTTCGGCAATCAGACTTTGTGCATCTTGCAGATGCGATTCCAACTCCAGGAGTCCTTGTGCTTTTCATCTTTGTGTTTCTGCACTCTGTGGGAATCCATTGGACAGGTGATAAGCCCATCAAACGTCACCAGAGCCCTGTTAGCAGGCCTTATCCATTACGGTCTCCCGTGATGTGGACGAAGCGTTGGACTTTGGGACACATTCAATGGGGACTTGAGCCCTGGACCCTCAGATTAAAAGTCTGTAGCTCTACTGACTGAACTATCTGAACTTCTGTGGGTTTTGGATTATTTGTTTGTGTGCCTCTAATACTTTTTGTCCATTTAAGAGCCAGAGTCTGTAACTTTGGACCGGCTCATAGAAGGGGGTGATATATCACATTCCAGTAGGCCACTGAAGTTTTTTGTGGGGGTAGATATTTTGTCCAAACTGACAAAAATTACTTTTTTATCAGAAGATCCCTTCGGGGTGGATATTACAGCCCTTTTTAGGGTAGGGGTGAAAAGGGCCAAAATAGTGACATGGTCAAAATCTGGACTTTGACCTTCGAATATTTTGGTGCGCCCTCAGTGACCCTCCTTGATCTTATGGTATATGAATGTATGGGTAGAGTTCTTCCATGTAGCGTTATAATTTTCAAGGCTTACTGAGGGCGCCGCCTATAGGTGGTGCTTCAAATCATGACTTTTTGCATTTTGGACTACATTTGAGACCCTCCCAGGGCCTGCGCCCTCATTAAACCTTGCTAGTTTATGTGTATTTGGATACATTGGGCTCTAATTTCTTGGCGCAGCGCAGGGTGGCGCAGCGTGGCGTAGCGTGGCGCAGCCCACGCAGTGGTAATTTCGTCCGGTGCAGCCCGCGCAGTGGTAATTTCGTGCGGTGCAACACCATGCGCAGCCACTTTGGCAATTTGGTAGACGGACGTGCACAGAGATGGGTGTGGCGGCGTAGTAGGGGGAGGTGTCACATATTCATCAAGACGCAGTGACAATTTCGTAGAAAAAGTCTTAGCTGAAGTTGCGCAGAAAGCTCGCCACCTCCAACCTGGTTTACTTTCTGTGCAGTGGTAATTTGGCTGACCGGGCGCACAAAAAGACACGTCACTGAAACCTCACAGGCAGGTTTCCAGAATGTCAGGCACATTTCAATGCAATAAATAATTACAGCAACCACTATTTAATGTAACTATCTGAATCAGGACAAAAATTATAGTATCTATATCGATTGTCCTGATGTCAGATTAACTGGACGCGAAACGAATTTTTCGCACGACTGATTACAGCCAAAGTCAATGCAAAGACGCGAAAGTCGGACAGGGTTTTAATATATCTCCGTGTCCGAAAGTCATAAAAGTTCTAATTTTTCGAGTATTCCAGGAATTATTAGATGTGCAAACTAGGCCATGTTTGTGTTCGACCTTCACAAAATGCAAATTAATAGCTATCGACTTTTCTTGGTCTTTTTATTCGTGTGTTTTCTTCCGTTGAAGATAGACAACAGTCTTTAGTCGGTCTCTCTTTTGAAAATTAGTCAGATGGATCGAACAGATTCAAGCTTTATTTCCACACCAGAGATAAAATAGAGCTTGTAGTCAGTGAGCAAATCAATTCCATGACCATTGACAGTGTGAATAAATTATCGCATGCACGATCAAGACTGTCGAGGTAAATGCAAAATAGCCTACTCCATGTCCGGCAGCCAGCAAAAAGTAAAAGTATTGGTATGAGAACGGATTTATAACGAAATAAAGAATAAAAATATATCACCAACAAACAGAGCATCCAAAAAAGATGGACCGCAAATAAATAAATCGCAGTGTTCATTGGATGTTCTGTTTGTAGTTAAAATGTTTCTTTTTATTCTGTATTTCGTTATCAATCTGTTCTAATCGTCCTTTTTTTTTTGGCTGTCAGACACGAAGTATTTTGCATTTAACGTCCGACAGGCATTGAACATTGTCCCGCGCCAATGTCGACTCACTTTATTGAGCAGAGCTTAAACAGAAACATTGATTGAAATTCTCGGTAATCATCTTGAAGAACTGAGCCCTCTCATCAAAACATTCACATTTAATATCTAAAACATTCAGTAGATTTGAAGAAATTAAAAACAATAATCGACTGTCTGATACGGAATTATTTTGAAACCATCCGACTGTCGGACACGGAGATATATTAAAACCCTGTCAGACTTTCGGACACGTAGATACTGCGTTCAACACAATCTGTCGTGCGAAAAATTCGTTTCGCGTCCAGTGTGCAAGCGGCTTAATACTAGGCTATTATTGTCACTTAGGTTTTATCGTTTTTAGTGGGGGAAAGGAATACAGCCTGATTGCTATGATCTCGTACTGAGTTAAGAGCACATATTGAAAATAAATGTGTAACGTATCTTGCATTGTTGTCCATGCATGTTAATCCCAAAATTTTAAGCAGCAACAGGGTGTATGTAGCCTAATAATAGGAACACGCTATCCATCGTTTCTCTTCCCAATGATGCAGGCAGAAGAAATAAATGAGCAACCGTCGTATTTCACTCCAACTTCATAAGTTTGAATGATCTGACGTAGTTTCGTTTTGAAATTCCATTCAAGTTCGCTAATGGTAATAATAATGCCCTAGCTAGCCAGCTAACTCATATTCTTAATGCTTAATATTGACGTAAGCGGTGCAGAAAACATGCCTGAAGCAGCAAAGTAAAATTCAACATTAATGCATCATGCAGATATAGGACAGAGGCTTCTATATTCCAACACATTAAAGGTGAGGAGAGGAGCTCATTTGATTGGTGAAGATTTGACTCGGCTGTGTTATTCCCAAACACGCCTTCTCTCCTCCCTCTTTGCCACTTGCGCCGGCAGGAGGGACCGAGGCGGGACAGAGGAGTACTTGCGCCAGGCTACGCCAGGCACGAAATTGCAACATACGCCTGGACACACCCCATTGGGGCGGCCGCGCCTGCGCCTGGTCTACGAATTTAGAGCCCATTGGGACTAGTTCTTTCCAAATTTGCATAAATAGCTGTGGCTTAGTTTAGGCGCTTTTGCATAGGTGGCGCTTTTTATGGCAAGAATGCGATTTTAGGCGATTTTCATTTGGCCATATCTCAGTGCGCTCCCTATGGATTTCAGTGAAACTTGTTTTATTGTGTTTCTCTATATCTCTGCTATTCATGATGAAAATATTAAGAATGCTTTTTGCCTCTTTGTGCTAAAACGTTCACACCAGATCACATTCCACTTTAATCAAGAAAGACAAAAGGTTAGTTCTCCAATGCTCCAATAGGCGGCTCATATGGCAGGTGTCAGCACTGCTGTGACCGCATGTTTTGATGGCATGTTCAGAGTCTGAATAGAGCCGTGGAAATCCTGCTTTATCACGAACATCTTCTGATTTTAAGACCTGCGAGCGGTACATCGTTCCATCTTTACCTTGTGAGATATTGTGCTAACGATTAGTTTTGCTCCCAAGATATTAGATAATATATTTCTGATCACATTTTTGAATGGATGTGGCCTGTGTGTATGCATAATGCATGCAGCAATGCAGGATGTAAAGACAAGGTCCTCAACCCCCTCTGAAAAGTACTATGGTTACCGCTATGGTTTGAAGTAATGCAGAATACTTTGCTGCATGACTCATTTGATGAATATGAATACCATAAGGACCCCCAAGGACCAAAAAGCTAGGTTTGCCTCTGCTTTGGTGCATACAGAGTTCATTAATACTTCATGTCTCTTATTTTATTTCAGTTTTAACATTTTAAAAATTGTTGCTTTTTTGAATAAGTTCTCTTGCCTCAATGCTCTGAAAACACTCAAATAATTCTCCCCACTGGTTGGTGAGGAATGAAGCAAAATTTTTTCATTTTTCAGTGGTGGTGCTTGATGGCGACATACATCAAACTCTGGCTTGTAAAGGGTTAATGAGGCAAAAATCCTTCTTAATTACTCCTTTGAGCCATAAACTCAAAACGATTATTAAGAGTCACTGGCATGTTCTTAATACTGACCCTGTTTGTGCTGACCTATTTCGTGATCTTCCTCTTTTTGTTTACTCTAGGTCCCGTAATTTGAAGGACATCTTGGTGCGCGCTGACTGTTATGATCCTTCTAAAATTCCCAAAGAAAGGCTAGACGATGCCTCCGGTTTTTATCCCTGCAGAAATTGTACATCATGCAAGGATATTAGGAAAACTCACACATTTACTAGTTTTGTAACTAATAAGAGCTATACCACTACTAGATTCATTACTTGTAGTTCCAGTAATTGTGTATACATTTTATTCTGTGGTTGTGGACTACAATATGTTGGCTGTACTCGGCAGCAGCTCAGAGTACGTATTAATGAACATCGTAGCGCGATTAACAGAAAGGATTTGAAATCTCCGGTGGCACGTCATTTTGTGGAATTCAATCATAAGGTATCTGATCTCAGCTGGCTTGGCATTGATCGTGTTTTTTCCCAGTCGTAGACTAAGGCACATAGACAAATTATTACTTCAATGTGAAGCACGTTGGATCTATTACCTATCCACACTTTATCCAGCTGGCTTAAATGATTCTTTTGATTTGACATGTTTTCTTTAAGCGCGCACCAGCATGTCCTTATATCCATAATCAATTAACATGACATTTTAGTTTTACTATTTTCTGGTGTTTTGTTTTTTCATTTGATTGTACTTTATTGTCATAACTACTTCACTTGTTGTGGTCATCTATGATGATGCCCCCTTTTAATTGAATAATTGACGAGTCAATTGTATCTTGAGATACATACTTAAACTAATTGTCTTTTTCAGTCATGTGATGTCTATTTAAATGGTTTTGTCCTGCCACTTAGTTATTAGCACTGAGGGTGGTGTGAGCACCGAAACGTTTGTTTTTAAAAATTTTTCACTTGCACATATATTTTTTGCCCGAATAAATTGTTGCATTTGCTTCACGGTTTTTGGTATTTACCTTTTGGTGTGCGAGTATTTGTGCTGCTTTTATCAACTTTTTGCTGACGCACCCATTCAGCCTAGATTTGATCAAGGCGCAGACTTTCTTTACTGACGGGGAAAAGCAAAAATCCTTCTTGAAATTTTTATCATGAATAGCAGAGATATAGAGAAACACAATAAAACAAGTTTCACTGAAGTCCATAGGGGGCGCACTGAGATATGGCCAAATGAAAATCGCCTAAAATCGTGTTCTTGCCAAAAAAAGCGCCACCTATACAAAAGCACCCTAACTAAGCCACTGCCATTTATGCAAATTTGGAAAGA